GGACCACAGCCTCCCCATCGGTGTAGGGAGACACAGGCAGTGTGGAGGACAGGGGGCAATGAAGCCTGGCGGATCCTGGGGCGATGGTGGCGGCGGCGGCGGCGGCGCTTCCTGGGATGTCCTCTGGGCTGGGGCTGAGGCACCCACTGGAGCCAGAGGGGCAAGTAGTCCAAGTTGGGGCTAGCAGGCAGCAGGCATGGCGGCTGGCAGGCAGCTGTGGAGGTCAGAGGAGATGGAAAAGTAAGAGCCGGCCAACAGGACCTGTGCAGTTCTTCCTCTGGACAGATTGGGAAAAGTGACCCAAAGGCAAGCTCACCACAGAATGGGTCAGGGCGCAGTGGGGACGGGTGGGAGCAAGCCCACAGGCTCATCAGGCTCTGCTGGCTGCTGTCCAAGCCCTGCTGCAGACGCCTCTTTGTCTCTCGGAGCTCATACTTGTCCAAGGGCTGTGGCCGAAGCTCAGGCTGCCTGGGCTGAAGTCTGAAAGCTCCCTCGCCTTTCCTGCAGGAACAGAAAAGGGCAAAGGGAGAGGCTGGGCTGGACATGTTTTAGGTGAATCCTGAGGCTGCATCCCAGCCCAGCACCCCTTGACCTCCCAGGGCAGGCTGACACACCCTGCCCACTCAGTCCGTGCCTACCTCTCACAGGTATAGCACTCACAGTGCTCGTTCTTCTCACCGAAGAAGCCCTCGCCATAGAAGCAAGTCACTTCATCCCCCGGCTCAATGTCCCGTAGCACCTTCACACAGGCAGTATTCCCATCTGAGGGCACAAACTGAAGCCATGCCCCCTCAGCATCCTAGCGGGGAGCACAGGGCAGGAGCTATCCAGCTCCACAACCTGGCCAGGGACCCAGGTCCAAGGGTTCTGTAATGAGTTAGGCTGCAGCTAAGGAGCCTTCTCCTACCCCACCATTTATTGGTAGCTATCCTGGCTGGAGCCTGTTCTCCACAAAGCCTTTTAAGAGCCCGCTTTCTGTGTCTACCCCTCCCTGACAGTCAGTGAGCTAACCTGACCTCCAGGCAGGATGCGGTGACACTCCTTGTGCTCTTCCTCTGACTTGTGGACAAGTATCAAGCTCTGCCCCTCAGATCTACCCGTCCTCTCAGCAGAGTTCCTCAGGAGCCACGCCTCCTTGCCTCTCTGCCTCTCTGGCTACTTCCCAGTCTCCCAGGGCTGGTGTCCACTCTGCAGCCAGATTCTCGTCTCCTCCAGCCCGGCACTTAGGATCACTCATCCCGAGGCTACCCTATAGACTTCTTATTTCTCTCCCCCATCTGCAGCTATCTCTGCACTCCCAATGTGGGAGGGAACATGGGCAACATCTAGCTATCTAGCCAGCCGGCCACTCAAACCTGATACCCAAAGTGAACCTACATGCCTCCCTGCCTGAGGGCCTCCAGGCCGACTGGCCAGTTCCTGAATGTAGCACCTCCTAGATCCTCGCTCTCCTCTCGTCCTCCTGCTCTTCCTTCAGTTGGTCCTTTATCACCTGAAGGTCTATCACATGCCAATCTCCTCATGGCCACCCTCACTCTGTACACTTCTTCCCTTTCCACTGAGCCTCCTACACACTGCTGCCATAGCCATCTAGAAGCCAAATCTCCCATCATGCTGCTGGAAGGAGAATCGACTAAGCTTAGTAGTCAGATTGCCACCTCTTTGGTTATGGGGTGCCTCACTACAGTCCCAGACACATGGTGTGAAATGCCTTGCCCTCTGTGCCTCTGAGTTTCTTCAACATGTACAAAAGCTCTGCTCCTCCAAAGCCTGCTGATTCCAGACCACTCTACTCAGTGAGCAAGCTAACGACTGTGTGCATGGTGCCACTCAGTGTCTGCATACAAGGCAAAGGGCCTAGAGAGGGCTGTGTGTCACTCATCCCGAGAGCCTCTGACACACGGAACAAGTCTTGTGCGTTCTCAGGTGTCTACCACCTGACCCCAACAACAGGAGAAACCTGAGACCAGGCCACACAGCTATAACTCTTTCCAGATCTGAGTCAGGAAGCTGAGCTTTGGCCCTTAGTCATGACATGGGTGCTCCCACAGAGGGCCAGAGGTCTGTGTCCTGACAGAACACAAATTGGGGGCTTCTAGTGGACTACCCTTACCTTACTTTATTATTATTATTATTGTTACTTGGTTATACATGCATACACACATACACACACACACTAATTTTTATTTTATGGTCATTGGTGTTTTCCCTGCATGTATGTCTGTGTGAAGATATAAGAAGCCCTTGACCTAGACCTACACACAGGTGTGAATGGCTACATGGGTGCTGGGAATTGAACCCAGGTCCTCTGGAAGAGCACCCAGTGAGTGCTCTTAATGACTGAGTCATCTTTCTAGCCCCCTTTTTAGTTTTGAAGACAGGACCTTGTTACTATATAGTCTTGGGTGACCCAAAACTTACTATGCAGACCAAGCTGGCCTCCAACTTGTAGCAGTCCTCCTGCCTCTGTCTCTCAAACACCGATTCACGAGTACAAGACAGGGTGCTCAACTAAAACTCTGCTTTTGTTCTTGTTGGTCCTGTGGGTTGACTTCAGGCCACTCATATGCTAGGCAGAGCACTACCACTAAGCAACACTGTTAGCTCTCTCTGTTCTGTCTCTGTGGTATGGACTCAGGGTCTTACACATGCTAAGCAAGCACTCCACCCGGAGCTACATCCCTAGCACTTTTGAAATATACTTTCACTGAAGTTGCCAAGATTAACCTAGAACTTGGCAGGTCCCTTTCTTGGCTTCTCCCCGTCCCTGCCTTCAAAGCTGCCTAGTGAGATTAGCCACCTGCTAATCCGTCTCCCTATCACAGCTCTGCCTCCATTTCAGCCAGTAACCCAGGCTCCGCCACAACTGATGCCCCTCTCTCCCCGACCTGATGTCCTTCAGGGCGCAGGCCTTCCCATGCTGCCCACCCTAGGTGCTGCTACCAACTATGAGGGACTGCAAAGGATAGGAAATCACCTTGCCAGGTTGGATAGTCCAAAACCAGCCCTCCCTCCACTTTGATTCCCACACGCCCGCCCTTTTCACGCTCTGAAGGTCTCACCTTGCAGTTGGGTTTGCAGTCTGCCTCCATGGGGTGGACAGGAGAGAAAAGAGAAAGAGTGAGCAAGTAAAGACAGCCCCTCTCCCTTGTCTCACGCACTGGTCTGTCTCCCCCCCCAACCCCCAGCATCCTCTCTCTAGCCTTGCCCTCACCATGGTTGATGAAGGCAGCTGGGCCGAGCCACAGCTGGGTACTCCTTTTGCGGGTGGAGTACATGATGCTGAAGTCGTTCTCGCCGGCCCTGAGCAGGTATTCATCCTCCTCACGCAGCTCTGCAATGCAGCCCACCAGCAACTCTAGCTTCTCATTCTTCTTCCTGCCGAGAGGCTTAGGCTATAGGGCTCTGAGCAACGCCTCCCAGTGCTTGCTGGGGATGGGGGCCTCTCACACAGAAGCACCCTGGGAACAGGAGCTCCGAGGTGCAGGGCCAGCCAGTGCATCTTCCATTCATTCTCTCTCAAATCCCCCACTTCCCCCTGGGTCCTACCTCATCCAGAGGGACTGGGTCTCTGCTCCCAGCAGCCTCCTTACCAAGCACGGGTAGACACAATCTTGGCCCCATTAGTCTCCATGGAGTAGCGGGTGCAGGGCAGAATGGTGAAGCCACTCTCAGGCAGGAAGGCTCGGAGGTAGCAAAAAATCTGAGAGAACAGTGGGGGAGGGCAGGGAGATGAGCAGGGCCAACCACAGGGGCCTCTTTCTCTTGGACCAGGTCTACTTTGTCATTTGACTGTGTGCCCTGCGTCCTCTCTGGGTCTAGGTGTCCTCATCTGTTAAAGGAAGAGGAGGGTGGACTCATCTCAGCTCACCCACCCCCAATTATCTTCTTCTAGGATTCTGAGCCTTCCTTGCAGGCTGTCCCCAGCAGCAAGGCAGTCTTGGACCTGGGGGCTACTCTCCTGAGAGCTCTGGAATCTGCTACATGGAGAGCACAGTGCAGGGCAGGCTGGGGCATGGGCTCCCTCACGTGGCTCTTGAGGGCAGCCTTCTGACGAGGGGGACGGTTCTGGAAGTAGTGGGCCATCCAGCCTCCCAGTGTCAGGGCCCGGAATGCAGCCTCCAGGTCCCGTTGCCTTAGGAAAGCTTCCAGTGCTGAGCGAAGGTGGTGTTGTCGCCGCACGGTGGGCACAGGGCTGGGAGAAAGGGTATGCCTGGGTTCCAGGGATTCCCAGACCCCTGGAACCTACCTGAAGCCTCAGGGAGACCAGGCTGAGTAAAAACACAAGAGAAAGGCTCCAGGACCCAGGACCCAGGACCCAGGACCCAGGACCCCCAAATCCCCCCTCACCTGACATTCATCTTATGGGTGCGGAAACCGAGGTAGGGGTCAAGAACAAGGCTGGTGGCCAGGTCATCATTCTCGCACAGTTCTCGGGCTGTCACTCGATCAGGCCCCATGGTGCTCTAAAAACCATGCTGTTTCTGGCACGGAACAGGGCACATGGGCATGCCACTCAGAAGCTGCATGGGATGTCTGTGGGGCCCAGAGCCTGCTTATCTGTAGGAGAACACGGGGGAGGGGGGCATCAATATTGACTCTACAGGGCTTTCTGCAAGAATGATACCCAACAGATACTTTTGAGTGAGGAAACCCTAAGAGAAATACAGTCTCCTGTGCATTACGTATTTCCCTCCCCTCTTGCAAAACAGACACACATCCCCCAATCACACACAATAGCTTCCCAGGACATGTATGCTTTCACAGATGTCAGCACATACAAAGACCACCTTGCCAAATGCACAAGTCGGAGACAGGTCCCTATGTACCCAGGGGGAAGGAAGACTAATTGGCAGTCTAGGATAACTCCAAAAGCTTAGCATTGCAGGAGGGAGTTGGGACAGCTGGGCTCTCATCAAGGGAAAGGGGGAAATGAACTCCATGTTTTGAGCTTCTTGCCTGCCTTTGCTGACCCTTGCTAGGCTGATTCCCTTGTCATCGTCGCCTCCCTCCAAGGTCATCCTCCTCTTGGGAGGGGTCAAAAGGTTGTGGAGGGAACCCAGGCAGCCATTACAGGAAGAAGGATCCAGTACCTATCCCCCCCCACAGAGAATTCCAGCAAAGGGGAGGGCCCTCAAGAGGACAAAAACAGGAAGAAGAGACAGAATGGAGAGAAGGAAGAAGTCAAAACAAAAGGGTAGGAGGGAAAGAGGGAAAAAAATAGATTCAGAAAACCAAATCAAGGAAGATGGAGAGACAGGTTACTCAGTACCCTCACTATGGTGTGTCTGATAATGCTGCACTTTGGGAGAGAGCAAGGAGACAGAGTGTGTCAGACACACTCTCCCGCTCTGGGAGAAAGATCTGGAAAAAAAAAAAACAAACCAAAACAAGTCTGGGTTAAATAAAGAGGGTGCTTAGAAAAAAGCCTGGAAGCTGGGAAAAGACAAAGCCAGGTATAGGGAGTATGGTGTGAAGGGAGGGAAAGGGGAGAGAAACATGGAGGGAAGTCAGGGGGTGAAGGGTGGGGAGTGAGGAATGAGGCCCCTGCGGTTGCAAGGGAGGAGCCCACAAAATCCAAAGGGTCCAAGGGCCTGGGGGTCCAAGGGAAGGGCTTAGAGGTTCCAAGCAGGGTTTGGGGGAAGTCCTGGGGGATCTGAAGTGATGGAAACCTGAGAGATCCTAGGGGTTTGAGGAGGGAACTGGGGGCGCTAAGTAGCTAACTAAAGCCTGGGAGGGTTGTAGAAGGGGGCTGGGGAAGCAGAGAGTCAGAGGAAGGGCCTCAGAGGCCAGGCTAGTGAGACAGGAGTCAGGAAGTGCCCTGAGTGTGACAGGGTAGGTAACGATGCAGGAAAAGGTGGCGGGGATGGGACCTGGTGGGGCAGGGAGCGATCCTACGGTGCAAGGAAAGACCTGAGAGTGAGAGAGGAGTCGGCATGGGCTCCAGGGGTGCAGGGAAGGCTACGAGTGAGGAGCGCGTAGATCCGCGGGGCTGGAGACTTGGACCGCAAGGCTCGAGGAAGGGCCCGGGGACCGTCGGGTCAGGGGGTGACTGGGAGGCCGGGCGGCGCGGGGCGGGGGCCAAGAGGGGACTCAGAGGTCGGGCCCCGCGCCGCCCCTCACCCGCTTCTCCTCCTCCTCCTCCTTCTCCTCAGGCGCCCGCGTTGCAGCCGCCACCTCCACCCACCGCCTTCTCCGGCTCTCGTCAGACACAGCTGCCGCGCCTCCCCTGGACCGGGATGTCAGGAAGCTCAACCCTCTATTGGCCCAATCCGCCGTCACTCTTCCGTTGCTATGAAACTTGCGCTGTTCTTATTGGCTGACTCTCATTGCTCTCTTTTTCCTGCCTCTCCTTGGTCCCCAGTCGGTGCCCTGACAAAACCCCACCACGCCCACTCTGTCAATAAATCCAGCGGACTATAGCTAATGGCTCGAGTCGCTGTCATTCAGACGTTGCCATAAATATCTGTCCCGCCTCTTTCTCGGCTCTTCCCCAAATCAATGCTTTCATTGGCTCAAAGAGCCGTCACTCCAACCGAAACACTGTCTGGGTCAGGTTATTCAGGTCCAAGTGAAAAGAGGGCGGGCTCTATCAGATACAAACTTCGTGTTTTATTGGTTGGCCTTAGGCAGGACCACGCTTCCATTCGCTAAGGCCTCGGTCCATCACCCTAGAATCCGGGGCTCTAGTTTCTTTCTTTCGGCTTGAAGGAGGGCAAAATCTCTGAGCGAACCAGGAAGGAAAGAGGTGAACGCACACGAGCGCCACAGCTGCCCCCCCCCCCCGCCCCAGGAGACCATTGGTTGCCATGGCAACAAAACTTCATTGCCAACCCTGCTTGGCAAGAAGACCTTTTTTTCTCTTTCCCAATATTCATTATCGTTTGGAAAATTGTACCTACAAGAACTCTGTGAAGTTTTCTTGTCCTGCCTATGAACAGGTCGGAAACAGACGACGCTGAGGAGTTGGGACTTAGGAGACAAGCTCTGACTCATGGGGCACTCCCACGGGGGAAACTCCTGTAATTAGGATCACCCCTTCTTCAATCCTGCAAATATAATTAGCAGGATATCATAATTACGTCCAAACAAATAAGCTCCATGCTTGGGGCAGGCAGTCTTTGTTTTTGTTTTTCATAAGTTATCTGTTTGGTGGGTTAGAACAATGCCTACGTCAGAGAATGTTTTGTTAATACGAACTGAAGGAACAATCGATTGAAGTGAGATGGGAACACTGAAATGGCCCAGTGGGTAAAAGCACCTGCCCACACGTCTGACAGCCAGGATCTACATGATGGAAAGAGCACCGACTCCTGAAGGTTGTTCTTGACTTCCAGATTCATGCTAAGGCCTGTGCATCCTCACACAAGTACACACACACACGCACAATTAATTAAAACATAGTAGCTTCTCTTTTGAGACATGCAGCTTTGGCTGTCCTAGAACTCACCATGTAGACCAGCCTGGCCTTGAACTTACAGTGATCCTCCTCCTGTCTCTGCCTCCAGAGTGCTGGAATTGAAAGTGTGTGCCACTATGCCATGCATAATATTCTGTGGGTTTTGTTGGTGGTGGTTTGGTTTTAGTTTGATTTTTTTTTTTTTTTTAGACAGGGTTTCTCTGTATCCACCTGGCTATCCTGGAACTCAAATCTGTAGACCAGGCTGGCCTCAAACTCAGATATCCTCCTGCCTCTGTCTCTCAAGTGCTAAGGCATCTGCCACTACCAACCAGCCAACATTTTTTTTAGTATGGAACGCTTCACGAGTTTGTGTGTCATCCTTGCTCAGGGGCCATGCTGATCTTCTCTGTGTTGCTCCAGTTTTAGTATATGTGCTGCCACAACGTTTTGTTTTTAAGGAGGCTGAAGTTTTGCACTGTTCCATGATCTTGGGGTTTAGCCAACTCACAGCTTCGTGGTCCCATCTACCAAGCAAGTATCATACACATCACACTTTCAAGTGTCTGAGGTCCATGCCTCACTGCCCTTATCTCTCCTGCATTCTAAGACAGCCCCCTATCCTAAGCATCTCTCCAGATAAAGATGACTATATCTTCCTTGGGTGCTGTCACATTGTATAAGATTTTCTTTCTTTCTTTTTCTTTCTTTCTTTTGTTTTTGTTTTTGTTTTTTCGAGACAGGGTTTCTCTGTGCAGCCCTGGCTGTCCTGGAACTCACTCTGTAGACTGGGCTGGCCTCGAACTCAGAAATCTGCCTGCCTCTGCCTCCCAAGTGCTGGGATTAAAGGGGTGCACCACCACCACCCAGCTAAGATTTTCAAACAGCTAATAAAAATATTGAAGAAAAAAAAACCCCACTAAATAGCCAAGTGTCTTCCAGACTGTTGAAGTAGATTCCTGGATGAGGGTGTAGCCTGTGGATATACAACATGCACCATGTGTGAGGCTTGGGTTTTGATTTCCATTTAGGAAGAAAATGAGATGTACCCAGCAAATGCTTGGGTAGAGAGATTTAATACAGCAACATGGCAACTCTTGCTGAAATACACTCATGTCCTTAGCGCACACCTTTAACCCCAAACAATGACGGTAACGTTAGTTTGTAGAAGGAAGCACCTGTGTTTGAAAGGGCTGTTAGATGAGTGACAGATGAAGTGACGAATCAGAGAAAGAGTTGATAGAATAGGATATGCCCAACTCTCTTGAGAACAGTGAGAAAAGAGAGGCTGCTTAAGAGAGAGCAGGGCAGAGAGAGTGAAGGAGAGAGGGCAGTCTTACCAGGACAGTTGTACAGAGACAGGTTCCAGAGAGAGAGAGAGAAAGAGAGAGAGAGAGAAAGGCAGAGACACAGAGAGACAGAGACAGACACAGAGAGAGGCAGACACACTGACAGAGGCAGTGAGAGAGAGAGAGAGAGAGAGAGAGAGAGAGAGAGAGAGAGAACAAGATAGACACAGGTGAAGATAGAACCATTCAGAGAATAAGAAGGAGTCTGAAGATTAGAACAGATTGCCAAAGTTAGTATGAGGCCAAGCAGGGCAATTCAGAAGCAGAGAAAAGCCAGGTTGAATCAGTCAGTGAGGAGTGGAGTTTTGAGCCAGAATAGCTGAGTTGACCAGCTAGCCAGAGTTCAGAAAGAGCTAGAAAAGGTGAGCTTATTCAGCAGCAAGTCTCAAAGGCTGAAAACATTCTAGGCCTAAATATGGTTGTTTGGAGGCTAGAAGCTTTCAGGACTAGGCCTCTGTTAGCAGACAGAGGCGGTAAGCCTCCAAGTCAACAACTACATCAGGTGAATAGAAAATACTTTCACACAACTGAGACCTGTGCCATCAGCCAAGAGAACAGCCCAGGTCTACTCCTTTGAGGAGTTGGGACAGGATCTCATCTATCTAAGGCTGGTCTTTACCACCTTGAATTCTCATCATTCCATCTCCATCTTCAGCGTGCAGATATGCCAGCCTTCATCACACCATCTTTACTTGATGCTGTGTGTTAAACCCAGGGCTTTGTCCATGCTAGGAAGAACGCTATCAACTCAATTATATCACTGGAGCTTTTTTTGTCTTTGTTTTTGTTGTTTGCTTGTTTTGAGACAGGGTTTCTCTGTGTCCTGGAGCTTCTTCTGTAGACCAGGCTGGCCTCCAATTTAGAGAACCGCCTTCCTCTGCCTCTCAAATGCTGAGATTAAAGATATTTGCCACTACTTCCTGGCTGCTTTTTGTGCTTTTTGTGTTTCTGAAAAAAGTTGTTTTTTTTTTCTCTTCAAGACAGGGTTTCTCTGTGTAGCCCTGGCTGTCCTGGAACTCACTCTGTAGACCAGGCTGGCCTTGAACTCTCGAACTCAGAAATCCACCTGCCTCTGCCTCCCAAGTGCTGGGATTAAAGGCATGCGCCACCACCACCCAGCTGTAAAGGGGTTTCTTATAGCTGGGGCTGGTCTGGAAGGCACTATGTAGCTCAGGCTGTCCTTTTAAACTCAGAAGAGCCTCCTGCCTCAGACTCCCGAGTTCTGGGATTACAGGCACCTGACTCCATAAGCAGAAGTAAGCTGTAACAGGCCACCAGATATTAATAGATCCCAGACCTTAGCACAACTGAAGCCATGACGGATGTAGTATTCTGGCCTTGGAATCCAGCTCATAGACAGCACCCTCTGCCAAAACAAGAACAGATATCTAAAATCCTTCAAAGTTCACAGTTCTGGAAAAGTTTCTAGCTGTACAAGTCTTACCCTTTGGCTTCTGTAGCTCTGCTTCTGGCTAACTGTTCTTGTTAACTGAAGTATGTCAAGACAGATTATCAGTTTTGTGATTAAAAGCTCATCCCGAGAACAACTTGTGGCTACCCTGGGATCAAGAACACACAGTGTAGTCACTGTTAGCTAATAAAGACTCTCTAGGGCCTGGAGAGTCGGCTCAGTGATTAACAGTACCAGCTGCTTTTCCAGAGGACTCGGGTTCAAGTCCCAGCACACACATGGCAGCTCACAACTGTCTGTAACTCCAGTTCAGGAGATCCAACACCCTCACACAGACATACATGCAGGGAAAACACCAGTGCACATGCAATAAAAATAAGTAAACAAATGAATGAATAAATAAAAGATTTTTCTTTTGGCTTGAACCTGTGTCCAAGTTGTTTCCTCTGTTGGATCTGTCACAACAAAACCAGGACCACATAGCAAATCCCTTCTTTTTGTTCTTGTTTGTTTTGAGATAGGGTTTCTCTGTGTATCTTTGGCTATCCTGGAAGTAAATTCCCTACTTAAAGGCAGAAATTTGGGAGATGCTGAACACTTCTTCGGTCTGAATGCTGCTCTAGTTAATTAACACATTCCTAGATTAAAATCTGACTTTCTAACAAGGACATCTTCCTCTGACCTCCCCTGTCTTTCCAGTATTAAGCTGTTTGTCTCCCATGGCTTCTGTGACCTCATCCATATCTGGTCCCTCATCAGCTTAGCTTAGTAACAATCTGGTCAACCTCCCTGATAAATGTCAAATCTGGCTTGATTTTTTTTGGTTTATTTGCTTGACTTAATGTCTCAGGATTGTCCTCTGAATTGTACACAAGGTGTCCTTGAAGTAATCTTGCAGCTGCCTCCCCAGGGCTGGGATAACTTGTCTTTATCACTTCATTTGATTTGCTGGAGCTAGTGAGTTGGCTCACTAGGTAGAGGCACTTGTAACCAACCCTGACATATTCTCTCTCTCTCTCTCTCTCTCTCTCTCTCTCTCTCTCTCTCTCTCTCTCTCATTCTCTCTCTCTCTCTCTCTCACACACACACACACACACACACACACACACACACACACACACTAAATAAGCATACTATTTTCTTTTAAAGAGTTGCTGAAGGATGAAATAATATCAGCTCTAGAAGAAGTAAGGGAGAAAAGATTAAATTGCATGAAAACTATTCTCCATAGGCAGGCATCTGTCCTCCTGGCCTCCATATGTA